CCTATTATGGAGGGGCTCTTACCACATGCTCCTCTCTAGGTTCCCATTCATTTCAAAACACTACAAGTGCCTCTACAGGGAGGGGTGATGCAGAGACTCCAACTAGAGTTAAAAATAACAAAGCACTAGAGATGACCATTGTTTGTAGCCTGAGTCTGATGCACTCTGAAATCCTTAGGGCTTTGCTGTTTGCTTCTTGTTATTGGTTCTGACTCATAGCAATCCCAAGTATGATAGAATGACACACTGCCCGGTCCAGTGCTAGCCTCACAATCACCACTGTGTCTAAGCTCATTGTTACAGCCACTGTGCCAGTTCATCTCTTTGAGGGTCGTCTTCTGATTTGCTTACCCTCTTACTTTATCAATCATAGTGTCCTTCCTGACTATGGAACTGGTCCCTTCTGATTGATACCTTCCAATGTTCCTCCATTCATACTTGAGGTATTCCACATTCCGATTATAAATGGATATTCACAATGGTTTCTTCTCATTTTGCATTGTGCCTGATCATCAGCAAATGAAACGCCTGAAAACTTTGCCCCATCCATGCCAACACTGCTTTGAGGAGGCAGTTCTGTTCCAGTTATACTTTGAGTGCCATCTGACCTGAGGGCTCATCTTTCTATGCTATATCAGATAGTGTTCATGATGTTTCCAGTGACCATTGTTTTCAGAAATGGATCACCAGATCTTTCTTCCTAGTCTTTCTTAGTCTAGAAGCTCTGTTGAAACCTGTCCACTTTGGGTGACCCTGCTGGTATTTGAAATACCTGTGGTGTGGTTCCCAGCTTCACAACAACACACGAACCACTACAGTACAACAATCTTTGCTTAATTTAGTCTGCTCCACATGACCTTGATGTAGTGCTAGTGATTTCTCCCTGGAGCTGCCCCTGCTGATGTGAGCTGGCTTAGAACCAGGTGGGGGTGGAACTGGGTGGGTTTGGCCTTGATGGAAGTGGCAGAGGAAGCGAGAATCTTCTCTCCCTCCAGTTCCCCGCCCCCAGGGTCTGTCCTCAGATGTTATAGATGCCCGACTGCATGGGCGTGACACTTTATAAACCACACAGCTGAAGTTTCTCCTCTAACCGTCAGTTTATCTCCTGTGAAACTTGAAGACCCTTCCCACCCCTGAATCACAGCATAAGAACCACCTAATATAGAGGGCACATCTTTCTGTACACATTCACCCACAGTCCCACTCACACACAGTGCCAAAGGCAGGGGACGTTTGCAAGAGCCAACATAAAGTCCCCGATGGGACTGGAGGCAGCTGCTGCCTGCCTGGGGCCATCTGCTCTTCCTGCCAATTCCCAGAGGCCTCTACAGGGTCTCCCTTCCCTGCTTACCAGATGGAAGGCCTGGTGTTCACAAAGAGAGTCTGTGTCTTTGCAAAGTGCTCAGAGGTGAGGGCGATTTGGGGATAGAGGCCGGAGCTGCTCACCAGAGTATGGGGGAGCCTCATTGCACCTCAAGTCAGCCCTGGGGGATTCTAGACATCCAAGTGGCACCATGTGAGGAGCTCGGGGTAGCAGAGAGACTTGGAGGATCAGAGAGGTGGTGAAGGGGAGGGACTCAGTGAGCCAGGCTGTTGTCTGCTATGCCTCAAGAGTAGAAGAAAGTGCTGGACACACATCCCACATGTATGACCCAGACATGTCTCCAGTCCCAGTATCACTGCCCTCCTCAGCTCAGCCAAGGCTCCCCTGCAGCGTGCTATTCAAGACTGTGAGTTCGTCCTCCCAGCCCACCCTGTGGTGGCAGATGACCCCATCCTCGTGATCTTTGTCGTAGACAGCCCTAGCCATTCCATTTTCAATCGCCTCATATACATGTGAAAACTGCACAGTGAATAAGGAAGACTGAAGAAGAAACAATGTCTTGGAATCCTGAGTATTGAAGGATATGGGCTGCCAGGAGAAAGAGCAAATCTATCTTGAATGTATAGGCAGAATGCTCCTTAGACGCCAGGATGTTGAGACTTTGTCTTATGTACTTCGGACAAGTTATCAGGAGAGACCAGTCCCTGGAAAAGGACATTATGTTTGGTAAAGTACAGGGTCAGTGAACAAGAGGAAGACCCTTAACAAGATGGACTGACCCAGTGGCTGCAACAATGGGCTCAAGATATTGGAAGGATTGTGAGGGTGATTCAGGACGGGGCAGTGTTTCCTTCTGTTGTACATGGGGTTGCTATGAGTCTAAACTGACTCACTGGTACCTAGCAACAACAACCATGCCTTCACCAGATGGCCTGTTGCTTCGTTAAGCAGGGTTGGAAAGGCATCATCACCCTTCTTTGGGGGCCTCTGGGAAGGGTGGGCCTGAGGCCAGATGGGTTCTGCCTCAGGCCAGACTACACAAGCAGCAGTTAAACTCATCCTGGTCCCCAGATCCAGTGCCAGACTGGGGTGGCAGGCTGGTGAGCTCAGTACCTTTCCACTGCCTGCATCCTTTCTCCTCTTGGCTGACGTCTGCTCTTGGCTCCTGGGTCTGCTGGGGAGGAAGCCACCGATCACCATCGGCAGAGGGCTTTCCTTCTGGCCACAGCAAGCAGTGTGACTCGTAAGGAGGAGGTGACCCTTGTAGTCCTTTGTTTGTCTCTCTCTGATACTCGAGAAAGTTTGGAGAGTAGATCCCAAAACTGAGCCTTGGGTGCTTATGTTGGTCTTTTGGACTGTCAGATGGTTCTAGCTTCTCTTTGCCACTGACCAGCTATGAGACTTTGGACGCGTCACATGTCTCTCTGGGCTAGAATGTGTTTGTGTGAGTTCTGTAGCAGGGGTTACCTGTCCTGGTGGCCCAGGGACTCCTGCCCTGCAGGCTGCCTCCAATCAGGTAGTTCTTCTGAACAAGACTTGAAGGCTTCAGTTTCCCTTGGAATCAGCTATTTTCATACCCATTTCATAGGCTGGATTTGAAGTGGGGTCGTAGGATGTTTGTCTTCTCGAAAAACAAAGGTCTGATATAATAATATCCATACCTCATCTGTGCCCAGCACCCTGCCACATGCAGGGGTTTCTGCTAAATCCGTACTTGAATGTTGTTGTTAAGTGCCATCAAGTCGGCTCTGATTCATAGTGATCCCATATAGGGTTTCCAAGGTAAGTTTGAACCACCAACTTTGTGATTCAAATCGGTCCAGTGCCAAATTAAGGACTCCTTAAATTGTTGTTGTTAAGTGTGGTTGAGTCAGTTCTGACTCATAGTGACCCTGTATAGGCTTTCCAAGGAGTGACTGTTGGGTTTGAACCACCAACCTTGTGGCTAGCAGTCCAGTGCTGCTTCTACAGCACTGTACCAGGAATGTTAGGTGTCATTGAATCCATTCTGGCTCTTAGCAACCGTGTGTACAACAGAACTAAAACACTGCCCGGTCCTGAGCCACCCTCACAACCATGCCCATGTTTAAGCCCACTATTGCAGCCACTGGGTCAGTCCATCTTGTTGGACATCTTCCTCCTTTTCACTGACCCTGTACTTTACCAAACATGATGATCTCTCCTTATAACATGTCCGAAGTATATGCACATTCTGGCTATACTTCTTCCAAGATAGAGCTGTTCTTTCTTCTGGCAGTGCATGGTACAAGAACACGTTTCCCAGTCCTAGGCCATCTTCATGTTGGTTGGCAGCTGTTGTATCATTCTAGCTCATCATGACGGTGGGGCAGGGGTCCCTTGCTTTGACAGACCCTCCACTTTACCAAATGAGACATCTCTTTCTAGTGACGGGTCTTTCCTGATAGCGTATGTTCACAGTAAGCATGTCAGTCTCTCCATCCTCCTTATATAGAATGTTCTGGTTGTAACGCGTGTATAGTTTTCATTTACTTAAGCCTCACAATAGAGCATTTTCATCCTCATTTTGCAGGCAAGGAAACAGACACAAGTTAAATGGGGTGTCACGGTCTGGGTGCTGCAGGGGCTGACCTCCCTTTTCAGCTTAGTCTTTGAGCCTCGGAGCTGGTAGTCTCCCTGAAGACAGGCCTACTTGGGAGCAAGAGCAGTGATGGTTGCATGACACCGTGAATGTAATGAATGCTGATGAGCCCATCGTGCACGTACGAAGTGCAGAAATGGCAAATGTTTTTATCATTTATATTTTTACCACAATAAAAACATTTAAATGATAAGCCTCAGCATGGGTTCACAAGTGGGGAAACTGAGGCCCAGAGAGTAGAAGTGAGCTGTGAAGGGTCTTATAATGGCAGGAGGGCCCTGTGGGCACTGCCCCAGCCCCAACCCCAGCCCCAGCCCCAGAGCTGAGAATGCTGCCTTTGTGCCAGCAAGGTTTCTGGGATAGGCAGGCCTCTATGTCTGAAAGCTCCGATTGTCTCAGCGAGCTCCTCTGTGGAGCCCACCCCCCACCCCTGCTGTGGGCCCTTTGTGCTCCCAGATCTCAGCACAACAGTTGGGCTGTTGATGCCCAAAGCCCAGTGTGACTGTGAGCCGGTGGCCCACCGCCATGTGCCAGCTCCCAGTGGGGAACTGTTGCATCCAGGCTGCCAGGGTGGGCAGTGTGGCCTGTGGACACAGAAAGAGGCCTGAATTCTAGGCCACACTGGTCCTTGACTGGCCTGCTCTGTGACCCCCTCTCTAAGCCTCCACTTCCTCATCTGTAAAATAGGGGCTTGAATGGTGGAGGGACTGAGAGAAGATTCCAGCTCAGGCCTGAGTCTGGGTGATGGGAAGTGCACTAGATCGGAATCGGGCAGCCCCGTTCCACCCCACCTCTCAGCATCGCTGCCTCGGTGGGGTGCCCACTCCCTCAGATGTCTGATCTGTAGGGAATGGGGGGTGAACCACTTTGGCTGGGGTGTGGGGCAGCGGGATTGTGGAAGTTCAGGACTGGGACTGGAGGGGACACATTGTGCAGACAGGAACGGGGCTACCTGGACCCAAGGGACACTCTATACCCTCCAGACTTCTAGGAAAACTTGAGTTGGATTCTGGGTACATGTGGCTCTTTCCCTTTGTGATCTCTGCTTTTCAATAGACCATTGACTTCCTGAACAACAACATTCGAAGAGGAATTGAGAACTACTATGATGACCTCGATTTCAAAAACATCATGGACTTCGTTCAGAAGCAGGTGAGTTTCCTATGCTGTCTGCCCCCTCACCCCAATTCAGGACCCCACTAAGAGGGTGGGGGTGCAGGGGCAGGAGACAAACTTGAAAGTTGAGGATCAGTAGTGGCTGGACCACCAAGGATGGTGAAGCCAGACCCCAACCTCTCACCGAGTCCTCTGCCCACACACTTGGCCTAGGATGTCTCCATCCTACCTGTCCCTCTTGAGTTACATGACCCTTCCCTGCCAAAAAAAAAAAAGTCAGATGTGTTCCAAGCTACTTTAGGGTCCCTGGGGTGCCCCCTGCAAAGAGACAGAGCAAGAAAGGGTCCCAATCTCCAGTGGGCAAAAGTCTCTGAGGTGGGAGTGACTTCCAAACCATCTAGCCCAGAGCTCCCTCTGCCAAGTTCCTTCAGCCAGCCAGGTGGAGGGAGAGGTCTTCCTGGTTCCCCACACTGGGGGAGCAGAGCAAGTCTTCTCTCCCCTTCATGACACTTCTTAAATATGATGCTGACCAGGAGTTCTTTGGGGACATGGTCCCACTCACCCAAGTCCACCCAAGTCTGTCGTTGCAGTAACAATAGTAGGACCGGCCACTGTTCACCTTGGTTTCTACACACTGATCTTATTAGTCCTGAGCTTTGGGGTCCTTCTCTGTGAAGGGGATTCCAGGGCTCCTTTCTCGGGGGGCTGTGTGAGGATGCCTTGACTTTGCCACTCTCCTGGTTCAAACTTGAGGGTCCTGGCTCCTTCCTGTGGCTATAACAGGTGCCGCATCTGAAGGCCCTTCTCTGCCAGGGACGTGCCACCAGCTGTTGTCACTGGAATCAGCTGTCAGCGGGCCTGGGATTCCATTCTCCCGGGGGCAGGGGTACAGAATGACCAGTGCTCACCGGGCTTCTGCTTTGTACCAGGCCAGCCACGTGCCTAGTATTTGATCTATGCTCACCGCCTCCTGGGCAGCCCTGCCATTCTGGATGCTCTGTCCTGACAAAGCACGACCCAGTGAGCTCTCCTCCAGCTCCTCTTATAGCCAGTCACCACCATGGTATTCCAGCCTGGGGCTGCCCAGCCTGCCTTGCTTATATGCCTCCCAGTGACAGGGTGCTCACTACCTCCTGCTATTGTGGACAGCTCTGATCTAACAGAGTGGTCTAATGAGTTTCTTGTAGGCCCCTCCTGCCATCCGCCCATCTTTCTTGCTTGCTTCCTTTCTCAGTTCAAGTGCTGTGGTGGGGAAGACTACCGAGATTGGAACAAAAACCAGTACCATGACTGCACTGCCCCCGGGCCCCTGGCCTGTGGTGTACCCTATACCTGCTGCTTCACAAACAAGGTACCACTCCTGTGGGTGGGGAGTTTTTTGGGGTTCTCCCTAGCTGGTCAAACACTTCCCTCGCCTTTCTGCTCAACTTGAGGACAGATGTACTGCGGGTGGGTGAGTGGGGGTGAACAGGAGAAGGTGGTGGAAGGGGTCAACCTGGGGGTGCAGTAGGGAGGCCTGGTTTTTATGAGGGGAAGCACTGAACACTACCCCTGTGCTGTTGGTAAGTGCTTTGGGTGGATGGTTGGCCCTGTGATCTCCCATTTTACAGAAAGGTTAGGTGACTTGCTGAAGGTGGACAGAGCTGGGAGGAACCGCAGGCAGCTACACTCTGGCTGACTGTATAAGCCGGGCTCAGAGTGGAAGAGGCCCCAGGGAGGGTCAGCTCTGCAGGGCCAGTCGGAGGGTGCTTGGAAGGGGGTCTGGTGACATCAACACAAGCCTCCGCCTCTCCCAACTCCATCCTGTACAGTCACTGCTTGGAAGCTGGAGGCATCATCAGTCCTCTGTGTTTGACTGATGTGTCCAGAAATTGTCTTGTTTCTGCATTAGAACCAGGCAAAGGGAGAGCTTGGCAATTACTCATGCCCCAACGAGTCATGGAAAATTTCTCCTCCATGCCCACTGCCGATTCTGTAAACTGAGCAGCTGCTGGTGGGGGTGGGGGCGGCATCCCACCCACGTGTGCTAGAGACAGTGCTGAGTGTATGCACGCCCTAAAAGAGCCTGGGTGGCAGCGGGGGACGGTGGGGGGACTGTTTGAGGAATTTTAGTGGCCGTTTTAGGATGATTGTCTGGGTATCGGGGAGAAACCAAGAGTTTTCAGAGGCTTGTGGGAGGTGGTCCTCAAGTTGGTCACCCAGGGAAGGGGCACTTGAATGTCCACGTTGAGATCTGAAGGCTTCTTCATCTTCAGTCACTAAGCAAATATTTATTGAGGACCTACTATGTACCAGACACAGTTCTCATTTCTGATCTCTTGGTGCTATCATTCAAATAAAATACATAAGACCTCTATAGGCACACCTCAGAGAAATCGTGCTTCTAGGTTCACACCACTGCAATGTTGCAAGTATCACACTAAAGACAACCACACACATTTTTTTTTGTTTTCCCAGCACACACGAAAGTTATGTGGGAAAAAGAGGAGATTTTTCTGCTCCCGTATAGATTTACAGCCTCAGAAATATAGGGTTATTATGAGTCGGAACCAACTTGACAGCACATAGCCGTCACCACCACCACCACAGAAGTCATGTTTGCACTGTGTAGAGCAGTCTTGTAGTGGCTACCCAGGAAGGGACTTACCAGATCTGCCCACAATGCTCCTAGCCTAAGGAGTCCTCACAGCACTGCCACACGGGGCTCAGAGCCAGCTGGAGGTGATGAAGGTGTTGAAATGTGGTCATATTTTGGTTAAGCTTTGAAAGTAACCAGAAAGTAACCAAGAGGATTTGCAGCTGATCAGATATGGGAGGTGGGTGAGAGAGACTTTAAGAAGGAGGTCAAACTTGGGCCTGAGCCACACTGAAATGGGAAAGACTGGCTGCCCTTTAGGATTCTGTTCCACGAGGTCTTGCTCTCACTGCCATTGGGTGCTCAGACCTTGGATAACTCAGCGCATCCATCTCGTGTCTCAGGATGAGTGGACAAATCCTTGCTAGTTTTGGGTTTTGGACTGTGCAGAGTCCCCTATTTTGTGGTCCTGGGCTGATGGAGAGGCCACTGGGCAGCCTTCAGAGAAGGCTTCTATAGGATCCATGGTCAAACCCAGGCAGGCTTTGTCTTTGGAAGGCCCCTGGGTGTGTCCTGCTGTGTGCTGAGTGGAGGGGCAACTCCTTCCAGGGAACAGAGGAGGGTTCTGGGCTCTCGCTGTAGGAGAAGGCTTCTGTGCCAGTTTTAGATCTGAGAGGAACTCGGCACTGCCTGAGGGCAAGACCTGATTCAGCCTCCAGGCCTACTGGTTTTTGTCACTGTTTTACATCCTATTTTATTCACTCACTTGTTATGTTAGTTGTTCACTTTCTGTCTCCCTTGCTAGAACATTTTATACTTCTAAATTCCAAGTACCAAAAAGCACTCAATAAATATTTATTGAATGAATGACTAGACGAATGAGGTGGGGAGTGCCCAGTGCCGTCTCGCGTTCCACAGGCCCGACTCCCCTGGGTAATGATCACTAATGGTGACTCCATCTGGGTGTTGGGCATTGCTGGAGCTGAGGCTACCTGGCAGTCGAAACCAAGGAAGGCTATTTGCCACACACCAAGCTCTGACAACGTCTGAGACCCTGCTCTCCTGGAGGTGTAGCAAATGCCCTTCCTTGGGCTGAGATGGAAGGCACACCGGATGGTTAGCAGGGCCCTGTGAAAGCACTTTATGTTTACGTCTCACAGAACAACCCTGTGCCATTCACTGGTCATCACTGCTTTACAGAAGAGACTAAGGAGGCTCTCCCTTCATCCACTTATTCATTCAAGAAATACTTATTGAGTACCTGACCTGTACCGTCCACCTGAGGTTGGTCACTCACAAGCCGAGCATCACCAGCACCATGGCACCCTAACCCACAGCAACATTCACTTAGATGTGGAGGGGAGGGTGGGCTGGGCCATGTTCTGGATGGGGAAGGAGATCTCACAGGGGACAGGGAAGGACAGCCCTGTAACTTCGGACCTGCCTGGGCAGGGATATGATGAGCCGCTTCCCTGAGGCCTGACTGGCTTTCCCTGAGCATAGATGAGTGAGTCCCGGGGAGGTCTCTTCACGCTGCCTTCTGAGCAGGTGGATGTCTGTGAAGTGTAACCAGGGACCCTGTTCTCACCCTCAGCGAAGCCATAGCTAGCCTGGCTGGACCAGCTGTGGTGTGGGGTTTTCCTTCTAATGAACCAGATGAACCACCCTGTCCCGACCTCTGAGACCTCTTCTGATGGACCTATAGGAAAAGCAGGGGCTCAAGGGGGGTGGAGCTGGAATCCTCCCTCCCAAGTTCCAGGGACCCAGCCACCTCATGCTTACCCCCATGGACATTTCTTGAAAGGAGGAGGTTGCACTGCAGACACTGGAGCCAGACTGCCTGGGTGGGAATCTCACGCTGGTTCTGGGGCTTTGGACAGTGCCTCTCATTGTACCTCAGTCCTTTCATCTGTTAAATGGGGAGAGCAACAGTGCTAGCTGTTTTCCTTTTTCTGTTTCAGACAGAAGTGGTCAATACCATGTGTGGCTACAAGACTATCAACAAGGAGGTAATGTCTCTGAATCGGTTCCCTAGGAAATGGTTCTCTTCCTGTCCCGGCCCCACAAGGATCTGAGGGGCTTCCATGGGGGAGGGCACCTGGGATTTCCCAGCATTCTTAGTTGTAAACAGGAGTCTGGGACTGCTGGGGGTTTCCCACGCCTCTTCAAGACCCAGAAAGACTCAGGAGCCAGAAGCTTTCCAGGCTGGAAAAGGGCATCTACTATGGGTTTCCTTGTGAGAGGCCCATTGCAATCCTTGCTGGTACCCCCAGAGCACAGGAATATGAGTGAGGTCCAGTCTGCAGATGGTTCCAACTGGTGTCCTTAGCCGGGGACCAGGACCCCCTGCAGGAAGTGAGCTTCCTGGGGGGCCCCTTGGGTCAGCCTTCTGAATGACCCCCTGGATGAGGAGAAAAAGCTTCTCAAAATGGGTCCTAGGGACTTGTTAGAGAGGCACACTCTTGAGCTTCACCCCAGATCTGAATGAAAACTTTTTGCGGTGGGGCCCAGCCAGTGATTCTGATGCATGGTAAAGTGTGAGGTCTATAGACTAGCGGTGGTTCTCAACCTCTCAGACTCAACAGCCATTTATAGTGAACACAGTGGATGGAACCTGTGAGGGCTAGAACTCGGCCAGACTGCCCTGTTTTTCCAGGTCTTGTGACTTTTCATTCTTTGACAGTGATATAAGGAGTGACGAGGTACATCCATCTCACTTTTATATAAAAGATTTTTGTGGAAAATATCTGAATTTTCCTTCTCTGACAAAGAAGCCCTGGTAGTGCAGTGGGCTAAGCATTGGGCTGCTAGCTACAAGGCCCAGAGTTCAAATCCCCCAGCCGCTCTGAGGGAGCAAGGTGAGGCAGTCTGCTCCCGTACAGATTACAGTCTTGGGAGCCCTGTGGGGTAGCTCTGCTCTATCCTACATGGTGGCTGTGTGTCAGGATTGACTTGAAGGCATTGGATTTGGTTTTAGGGCTTTCTTGACAGGTTTCCGCCTTTCACAGGTTCTGACTTTTAACATGCTCAGCTGCTAACTAAAAGGTGGGAGGTCTGAGTCCACTCAGATGCACCTAAGAAGAGAAGCCTGGCAATCTGCTTCCAAACAATGAATCATTGAAACCCCTGTAGAATATAGTTCCACTGTGACACACATGGTTGCTGTGAATCAGAACCAACTCCATGGCAGCTGTTTTTCATTATCTACCTACACACTTAATTTCAAAGTATTCAACACAAAGATTGAAAATACAACCGGAATAAAGCCATTTACCATTATATAATGTATTTCAATATGCCAATGCTCAGGCAGAAGACACAATGAAGTCATGAAATGTTTGCACCTATATGAATTCCTAAGTCCAACAGCTGCAGAGGCAGCTGATATGGGGGCTTGTCTTGGTAACTTGCATATCTTTTGCTGGCGAACAACTCTTCATAAAGCTCTGGACAAAATAAAGTACAATCTTTCATTAATTTACATAGTCTTTCTGGAAAATTCAGAGTGTATTAAAACTATACATGAAATACTTTGGTTTTTATATGTACCTGGAATTTGACTTTTGGCTCAGATAGTTACAAATCAGTTTCACTCACACAAATGTCTAGGGCATCTGAGAGGCACCCAGACAGGCCTGTTGTTTGTGGCCCATAACTCTCCAATCCTAATTATGTGGTAATGAAAAGTCCATCACAAATGTCCAGAATGCTTGTGTCATGTGGCAGATGAGGGGACTAGGCGGGGAGGGACGTAGGGACTTGCCTGACCTCCAGTGAGTGACCGAGTCAGGACTAAGGCTCCTCCATCCCTCTCTCTCTCTGCAGCGCCTGGTTGTTCAGGATGCCATCTATGTGCGGGGCTGCACCAACGCCGTGCTCATCTGGTTCATGGATAACTACACCATCATGGCAGGCATCCTCCTGGGCATCCTGCTCCCTCAGGTAGGGGAGTTGGCAGTAGGGGTGGCGGGCAGGTGGGCAATGGGTACTGATGATGAGAGACACGCAGGGTATGGAAGCTCATCTCTGGAGGACTGGAGGGGTTGAAGAAGTGGGTGAATGGCAGTAGACTTTTCACACAGGCAGTCTCCTCAGCTCGCTCTGTGAGGTAGACACAGTCATGCTAATTTTAGGAATGAGGAAGCTGAGGTGGAGGTGTGGTCCTTGAATGGAGGGGGCTCTGCTGATGGGGGACAGGGAAACACTCTGGGATTTCCCGGGAGGCACTGAGGGGACTCAGACTAGAGCCCCTCTGCAGGCCTCACCACCAGCCCTGTCCATCTCCTCAGTTCCTGGGGGTGCTGCTGACCATCTTGTACATCACCCGCGTGGAGGACATCATTGACGAGTACTCGGCCACCGACGGGCTCCTGGGGCCCGGTGCCAAGCCCACCGTGGATGCAGCGGGTACCGGGTGCTGCATGTGCTACCCCAATTAGGGCCCCAACTGGACCTCCGTGGGACCAGGCCATGGCTGCACCTCACTGCCCACGATGAGGGCTGGACAAGATGTGGCCCCTCTACCCTCATTGACCAAAGTCTATTGGTGTTTGCCTGGTGCCTAGGCTGCCTGCGGGGCCATCCACAACCACAGCATTTGTCATGGGGTGGGGCCTGCATCCTCACCCCCAAACCCCCTCAGTAGCCCCTCTGGGATCAGAGCCAGGGCTAGGGATGGGGGAGCTCAGGGCTGATTCCGGACAGTGCCTCATCCAGATGTGGGTATTTATGACCGCCCCCACATTGAGGGCAATTGAGCCCTGGTGACTAGTTGTGAAAACACTCAGTTGCTAATGGAAAGATTTGTGGTTCAAAGCCACTGGCCAGCTGCACAGGAGAAAGCGGTGGTAATCTGCTGCTGTAAAGACCGGGAGCCCTCTAGGGCAGGTCTGCTCTGCAGTATGGGGTCGCTGTGAGCTGGGGTCCATTCCAGGGCAGTGGGTTTGGTTTGGGAGGGCAGTTGTCTAGTGATTTGTAAATTGGGAGAGAGAAGAATGCTGCTTCTGAAAGCAGTGGGGATTTCTAGCTATGTGTGTTACCCAGGTGAGGACGAAGGGGTCATCCCAGAGCCCAACTAGACTTTCTCAGCCTCTCAGGTGCCTTGAACCTCCCCAGCGGCTGCTACTTGGCTGGCTCAATTTTTTACCTTTTTACACCCATGTTTTTACAGTTAATAGGAATTTCTGACTAATCAAAACTGTCTTTCCTTCTTCCTCCATGTGTCTCTTCAAACCAGCTGATTAACCAATCAATAAAGATGTGATTTTTTTTTTCTTTTTGTCTTTTGTGTTCTTTGGGTGGGGATGGGGAGAGAAAGGTCTCAGCCATGGCTGGGAAACCCCTCATTGGTTTGTTTGGTGCAGATTTCTAAGATTTGGGACAGATGAGGCCATGGAAACCTGTGAAGATTAGTAGCTCGTGGGTACCTGCTCCAGGTTCCGGGTGCTTCTCAGTCTTCCATGCTGCTTCTGATGGAAATGGCATTTCCTAGCTAGGTTTGTGGTCTGTCCAGAGCCACCCATGCTGCCTTTCCTCTAGGAATTTTTGGGGAAAGCTCACGGAGGCAGAGGCCACAACACCTATTTTACCAACTGGGAAACAGGCTTGGCACAAGTTTCCTTAATCAGAATGTGGGGCCAATAGAAACTAGGAAAGTCAAGAGTCCTGAAGGGAGCCATACTGATTCTCCTAACAGTAAGCAATTTATTGTACACCAAGGCTGGAGCTGACTCTTGTAACGACTGTTAATGCCAAGCCAAGCTTGGTGCTGATTGCCCCCTGCTGGAAATGGCAGGACTTGCATGCATAGACCACCCAAACCTCCTTGCCCAAAGACTTGGATTATCCTGGGAGGGCTGGAGGGCCTCACCTGCACTGCACGCTCTCTTCAGTTCTCTCTGTGAAGTAGGTGCTAATCTCATGCCCTTGATAGCATCTCAGTAGTCAGGCCAACAGAAACCCCCAATCCTGAAGAGTTCAATGTAAATGGTAGGAATTGCCTATCATACCAGATGCTAAGTAGTAGAATGCTTAGTCTGCCATGTGTACAGGCTCAAGTTGATTGCTGATCCCAGCTTTGCATTCCAATCACCAGTAATCCTCAATACATCTCAAAATTACACACCAACCACTAAAGCCAGTGAGGATGAAATAAAAGAATGATTACAATCATCTGTGCATCATAATTCAACAGTATTTGCTTCCATTCCCTCTGCTTTTTTGGGGGGTGGGGTGGGGGTAGGATGGGGAGATGTACAGAAAAACACTAGGAATATATAATAATTGAAACAGCCAAAGGGCACATTCTGTAAGCCTGCCTCCTGGCCGCACTCAGTCTTTCTCTTTCCACGAGTCTACTCTCTCTCTCCATGTCCTAATCCCTGCCTCCATCTCTGGTGTCACTGTTTCTCTGGATAGGGTTCCACATTCCACTCCTGCTCTTCTCCCTTGATGGTCCTAAGGTCCTTTGTTTCTGGACTGTAAGATTAACAACTCCCTCATTTTTGTTACAAAACTTCTACCTTTACAATTGTGACAGTCACAATTAGTCATGGTAACAATTACTCACTATTGAATCATAAGAATCATATCCCCATCTCTTTTCACCAGACCCATCTAGACAAGATGAAAACTATTCAGTGGGGACTCTTTCTTTCCCCCATACTCTTAAACTAAACTCCCTCTTGAAACCTTGTAAGCCAGTTACTTCGTGTCTTTATCGCCCTCTCATTTTAGGTAGCCAATGTCTTAAGTTGCCCATCCCTATCTGTCCTGTGTACAGAGGGGATAGCATTGATACTTGATGTGAAGACTCCTTTCCCCTCAGTTGGTATTTTGAGCTGCTACATCCATAAGTATAGGTCAGGTTCATCAAATTGTAGCAATTTACACTTGTTTCCTTTATCAAAAAATAAAAAATAAAAAAATCTTCCACTAGTTCTGATTATCAAACCATCGAAGCTAGGTCAGATGGGTAAAGCAAACTATTCTTGACCTTACTCCCTTCTCTGTCATTACTTTTTTTCTCTCACTTTCCCTTCATAATAACCACTTTGTAGAATGACTGTCCACACTGTCTCTGATTTCTCTCACCTCATGTCACTCTTAAACCTCCCTGTTTAGATTCTTGTTCCCATGTTGCCACCCAAACTTCCTATTGAGGAAACTGGTGAACACTACTGTTAAATCCAATGCTCCAGTGTCTACAGCATTTGACAACTTGAAGACATCCAACTACTAAAATGTCCTATACGAATTCTTGATATATTCCGCCCACAAAACTTGCTTCTACAGCATCATCCCCATCTTAGGAAATATCCACTTCATCCTTCTTAGACATTAGCACCATTGCTTAGACATTTGGAGTCATTCTAGACCTTTCTGTCTCTCCCGTACCTCATCCCATCCACTAGCACACCCCATCAGCTCCATCTTCAAGACATATCCAGAAGTTTCCTCTCCTCCATCTCTGGATCAATCTCAAGGCCACCCAACTGGTCTCCCTGGTGTCTGTTCTCTACTCAGTCACTAGCGTAATCGTGTTATAACATTCTGCCAGTGATCTGATTATAACATTGCTTAAAGCCGTAGTGGTTCCAAATCGGGCTGTGAACCACAAGGTCAGCAGTTCGAAACTACCAGCTGCTCCGCTGGAGAAAGAGGAGGCTTTCTGCTCCCATAAAGATTTACAGACTCGGAAACCCTGTACAGGGTCGCTATGGGTCGGAACCGACTCCACGGCACACAACAACAACAACAATATTGGTAGCAGGCCACACCCCCAAGGAAACAACCTTTCAATTGATTGGCTGCTCATAGCCAATCATCAGAGAGTCAACTATGCCTGCTCATAGCCAATCATCAGACTGCCAAACCACTGGAATCCTGAGCATAGCAGGGAGGGAGACTGCCCTATTAAGGAGAAGAAACTGGGAAGTAGAGGCAAACCCAGTTCTCAGACTCCTAGAGAATGTTCTGGGCCCAAGGTCCTGATTAGGCAGCACAGATGGAAGATGTAGGGACCATAGCAGACTGTCCCCCCACAACTTCTCAGAGGAAAAGCTGAAGCTGTTTACATGTCCTGTGACACCCCAGCTGGCCCCACTGTGACCTCTCCAACTCTTATTCTTACTGCCCGCCCCCCACTTTGACAGTGGCCTGTGGAGGGCCTTTGGCTGTGCTGTTCCCATTGCCTGAAGTGCTTGTCCTTCCCACAGTGTGGCTGACTCTCTACTTCATCTGATCCTGACTCAGATGTCACTTCCTTGGTGATGCCGTCTTCGGACACCCTCAATAAAACTGCAGTCTCCTTTCTTAACACCCTTTACGGCCTTACTTATTTTTTCCCTAGCCCTTATTATTTAATATGCTTTGTATTTTATCTGTTTATCTTGTTTTTCTGTTTCCATAAAAAAAAAGTTCCATGAAGATGGAAACTCTGGAAATTTTATTCTCTCAGCCTGGTGTGGCGCTATAAGATATCACTCAACCGTAAGGTCAGTTTGAACTTCAAAGCTGTCAGTTAAAGCTCACCAGCCACTCCAAGGAAACCCTATGCAGGGTTGCCGTGAGTCAGAACTGACTGGATGGCACTTGGCAGCAACTGCAATGTCTTAGCCTGGGTTCTTGAGAAAGCTGATCTTGGATCAAATGTTTCATACAAGTGACTTATTTGGGAAGTGGTGTGAAGGAGCAGGGGACATGAGGGAGAGCCGCAAGAGAAGTGGATTACTGCATGAGCCGCTGTGTTGGGCTGCTCACCCAAGGGAAGAAAGGGGCATCATTTGGCCATCAGTTCCCATCCCCACAGTTAAGTGTGGCCCCACAGGCACGAACTCCCTTGCAGTTTGGGCTGTACATATTTGAGTGTTGAGTGATTTTTTGGTGACATTGCAGTCCATGGCCTCAGAGGAGGCAAGAGGAGGGAGCACTGCTGCATTGTGTCTGCTCACAGCTGGTCAAAACCTGAAAGAACAGGCTCCTGCAGCCCTGGCTGGATGAGGACAGGGGGGTCTGAGAGGGCTTAGGTGGAGGCTGAAGTGTCTGTTCTGTTCTAGCACCTAACAGATCCTGACGTACAGTACCACTCAGTGTTTGCTGACTTAAGGAATGAATGAACTGTGGTCAACAGCTGCCTTTGCTCCAGGCAACTCTGAGGGTTGGTGAATGGACCGGGGCTCTCTGCATGATGCTGGGACATGCTGGGGCCATGGACAGGCATGAGAGCTGGCCCATAGTCTTTGCAAGGACAACCCTTTCTTTGGGTGACCTATCCCCATACTGGTGTGGCACTGTAGGATCAACACTGGACAGTGAACTACAAGGGCAGCAGTTCAAACCCACCAGCTGCTCCTTGGAAACCCTGTACAGTGTCACTATGAGTCAGAATTGACTAGACGGCACTTAACAACAACAACATCCCCATTACACCACAGAACCA